TAGCAGTCGTAGTAGTAGTAACAGTAAGTTGTAAGTTATAAGTAATAGAAGCAGTAGAACATTGCAGTAGTAGTAGTCGTAAGTTGTAAGTTGAAAGTATTACTAAGTAGTGGTAGTAGTAAGTCGTAAGTTGCAAGTAAATAGTAGGTAGTAGTTGTAACAGTAGTAATAGTAGTAATTCCTAAGTCATAAGGCGTAAGTAGCAGTAGTAGTAAGTAGCGGTAGTAGTAGCAGTACAGTAGTAAGTAAATAGTAATGTCAAGTAGTAATGGATGTGGTAGAACAGTAGTAGTAGTAGTAGTAGTAGTAGTAGTAGTAGTAGTAGTAGTAGTAGTAGTAGTAGTAGTAGTAGTAGTAGTAGTAGTAGTAGTAGTAGTAGTAGTAGTAGTTGTTTTTTGTTTTGTTCTGTTTTTTGGAGGTACCTAGCCTTATACATTGTCCTATATATACATCCATTTTAGACTTTGCAGCTGAAGAGGTTACTTAAAACCGTTGAATGGCGTTGGTAGGAAGCTGTTAGCGAGCAGAGCCCATACATATAGTGGGAGTCTCCTTGTACTAATAGTGAGGTCAGGGCTCCATGTCACCGGGCAGAGGAAGACAAATGGCTGAATTCACTCATCACTGTGAGCCCATCCTGAGGGACAGCAGAGGGACTGGACGCAGCTCTGGTTACACTCCCTCTTCCTCTGCTCCTGTCGGCCTTTTACAGACCCCCCACAGAACAAATGTGTCCCTCCCACCACTCCTTCACAGACTCCTCTTATCTGCTGGGAAGAGGAAGTAGCAAGGAGGTAGCCAACTTAGATCCACTTTGAACAAATTGCTGAATTAGCAAATTAAGCAGATTCAGGGTCAGCTAAAAGATCAGAGATTTAAGAGCGCTGACGCAATAGAGGTCACAAAAAGAAACACTTAACCCAAGATAAAACGTTAAATCTTGGACAGCAACTCCCTGTGGTATTGACAATTTAGTATGGGTACATTAGTCTCTTCTGATTTAGTTATAAAGCCCAAAAGTAAGAGCTAGGAAAACTTTAAAAATTACTTAAATGGTGGCAATGAAAAACAATATCAGCGCAGATGTTGAAAATTTGATGGATTTGATATAAATGCCAAGAAAACAGTTCAACAGTTACCCCATTTGCTCAATAAATTGGAGTAATCAGTTTATTGGCCAGCGTTGCCCCAAAATGTTCCCTAATGTTAAAACTCTATTACTATATATTACAAACTGTTATATTATTATTACTATTATTATATTATACAATATTACTATACTGTTGGTTTTAGATCATGTTACATCCCAAATATCCACTGTATTTACTATTATTAAAAATACTATAGCGATCTTCTTATAAAGAACAATGCCAGAAGTCTGTGTCCATATGGGTCCTGAAAACTCCAGCATAAACAGTCAGACATCACTCTCTTTGGAAAGCCCAACACTTGCGAATGATAAATCACCTTAAAGCTGTGTTTTCATTGAGAGTGTAACATCTTGAAGTTGCCAGTATCACCAGTGAATACATTTTATCGTCCTTTCAGTCCAACTTGGCAACGCAAACAGAGTCACAGCTACAGTGAATGAATCTCATCTGTAAATGTCATCTCTGTAGCAGCAGCTGTTTTGGCTGGGTCTCGCTGACATGCTGCTGTCCATGTATTAAATGTGTTCTCTCTACACTGTAAAATATAGAATAGAGGATTTTTTACTTTAATTTACATAGGTGGTGTTCACATCTTAATTACATGTCATAATTTATCACAGTAAACTTGCAATATAAATCTTATGTTTTAAAGTGCTTTCAACTGACAACAATCACGTCTTTGGGGTTGAATAACGGCAACATTTTCTGAAGCAAGCGTGAAAAAAATCATTTCACTTTTGTTTATTTATGCTGACAGAGAAGACTTTGAACTTTAAGCCCAGTAATTACAGACATATTAACCATAAATGAAGTAAAAACATCTGCAATCTGACCACAAATCCAACCACAAAATCCAGACATGTCTTCCAACTCAGTTTAAAATAATAACTTTAATGATTTCAAGTTATTTTAAAAGGCGCACTATGAAACTTTTCTGGTTGAGGGTCTCTAGCACCTTCTTGTTTTCAGAGATGCTTTGCCTGGGATGTTCAAACAAGTGTTGCATCCGGGCCAAATTACAGGTCAGATCTGTAGAGAGGCAGGTGGCAACCTAGCCCATGGAAATAACACATGTTTTTCAATGTATCTTTCAGCAATAAAACTAAATAAATGTATGCAAAAATACATAAATCTGATGCCATAATCTGGATTGCAAAATAACAGCATTGTCAGGTTTGCGGAGATGCAAGCCCAATTGGATACTATAAGTTTGGATAATATAAGTTTTTCAATGCGATAAACACAGCCAAATGGGAAGAAAAATCCAGGCTAAGTAAAATCTCCATGGAGACAAGGTAGAAAAGTTACACATTGTACCTAATCTTGATATTTTTTGCAGTGTATGAACCAGATGTCAACCAGGACTCCAGTTCTGGCTCTCCCATCAACTTCTCCATCAAAGGGACTTTCAAAATACTGTATGAAGGACGCTCATAGACAACCCAAGGGACCCAAGGCTACACAGAGAGGTCCATATGACATCACTGTGGACAGCAGCCAGCGTGGACAGAGGGGAGACACAAGAAAAACAGAGCTACAGAAAAGAGGGACACGACCCAGTGGAGTCCCGTAAAAGAATGTTGTAAAACGAGGCTTTGAAATTGTGGAACATTTCAGCTGTGCAGAGGTAAATGGAGCTGCAAATTGTCTGTCTGGATTTAAGATTTTTAAACAATTATAAGCATAATATCTTTGGGGTGATTTAAGAGTTGCAAAACAGTAGTATCGTAAATCAAATACTTTATAAGAAAATTTTACATTCAGAGTTGAAGATATTGTACAAAATCTATGGCTGCATGGAACTACATTCTCTTTTCTCCCAAATATCCTATCGTATACAGTACCATAACCTTTTAAGCCATTTTGGATACTGATGATTTTTTTAGTAAATAACTAATAGCTAATTTGGAAGGACACAAAATTTCACAATTACCCCCTGATGACAATGAACAGTGGAGGCTCGATTTTCTCAAGGGAGGTCTAAATATGCTGGAACATTCAAATATGCATGACTGAAAAAACACATTTCCTGGTATATTTCTGATGACAACATTACAACATTACAACACCGTAACAACTTCCAAAAAGTCAATCTGGCAGAGTTTAGGACCTATGAGAGCTCTAACCACTAGCTGAAACTGGACTCCTTCGCTTTGTCTGTTTTTCTTGTCATATAAACATGGAAAGCCTTTGTTTATTAGTTGCTTATCTGACTGGTTTCCGAAGCAACAAAGACGTGACCGGCAGGACAGGAAGAAGCACTGGACATAAACCTCGTGAACTGCCATTATCCTTTTCATCCAGTGACAAGGTGCAAACAGGAAAACTGATCATCTTGAGTTTAGGAACTGGCAACAAGAGCTCAGTGGAGTGGAACACTGACGCTTGATACACAACTACAACTGGAGGCTGGGACATGTGGACAATGTAGTTTTATGAATGGGAGACAGGTGTAAGGCACTGTTCCCAACTGTTTTTGTCTCAGTTCCCCTGAAACTTAATCTCACATTCAAGTATCGCCTAACTTGAGTAATAAGAAAATAAGTCTGTTTAAATGACTACAGTGGCACATGTCCAAAATCCTCCAAAACATTCTTAAAAGGTGCAATGTGCAACTTCACTGGTGGAGGGTTTTCTCCATGGAGATATTATGTTGCTATGTTATGTATTGCTTTGTCTGGGATGTTTCACAGTATGATATTAAACCCTTCTATCATCATGGAGACCAAACCAGACCAAGTTACCCCACTCACAGTCAGAATGCCTGTTTTTCTACATATTTTTTGAGCGACAAAACCACTTGTAATTGAGTAAATGTAAAGTAGAGCTCTTTAAAAGGAACAGTTCGGAATTTTGGACAAAGGGCCTCATTTCGTAGTGAGCCATAGTGTTGGAGACATGTGGAGACACTTTTTAAAATATTCCATCCAGTCCTTGTATTTGCAGAGGTCGCTGGTGCTAGGCTAGTGCATGGCAATGGCCATAGTTATCCTGCCCCTAAAAACTTCTTACCCACTCCACAAAGCACCCGAAGCAAATCTACTATAACACCAGACTGTCAAGGTAAATGTCTGTGTTGACAGAATAATTTAAGAAGTAAAACCACCTTGCATTTGAAGGATTTATGTCTGAGCAGCAGCATCAATTTGTACTTGCTAATAGAAAGCTTGGCAGCGGCGGACTGATATATGAGAAAATAGTCCCTCAATAGGCGACGATTCAGGCGATGCAAGGTTAGTTTTATTTCAAACATTATTCTGTTAAACAGACATTTACATCAACAGTCTGGAGTAATAATAGTTTTACTTCGGGTGTTTTGTGGAGTGGGTAAGGCTGTTTTTAGTGACAAGATAACTATGGCCATTGACATGCTTAGCCTCAGCGACCTCTGCAAATACAAGGACTGGATGGATTCTTTTTTTTTTCAAAGTGTCTCTACACATCTCCAACACAATGAGGCCCTACATCCAAAATTCCAAGCTGTTTCTTTAATGTCATACTGTGGAACATTCTAGACATAGCAATGACATATCTATAGAAAAAAGTCTGTGACGGACCCCCAACCACAAAAAAATGTGATTATACTATTATAGTGGTGTAGGGAGTATAGTTTTTACCAATCAACCAGATGTAGGGCAGTTCAAAACTCACCCAAGCAGACATTACCATTGTCTTTCTGCACATCTACACATCTTTATCGACATCACTATCTAAAGTCATAATATATGGGACTGATTGTGGTAGAGAGGAGGTGACTTTGTGGCTAGAACAGGCACAAAAAGTACCAAACAAAAAGTAAAAAAAAAAAAACCCTCCATCAAAATCATGAATTCTATGGCGTCATCTTACCTTCTTTATCAAACTCAATGGCGTAACAATCTGACCGGCCATTACTCCACGGGCAGTAAAAGACGGCTCCTCCCTCCGTAACGTTAACTTGCAACGTGCTTGCTTTGGGTGCTCCGACTACAACACTGGCACTGTATGGAAAAAAAGAAGAAAAAATGCATTAACGACTTATATGACATTCACTAGACCGCAAACTGCTGACAAACCCATAAAAACCAAGGCTAGCATTTTCTACGTTTTATCTGGCATCAATTAGGACTTCGAAGTTGCGTGCCAGACCTCCCATGTGATCGCTAATTGAAAATGCTGTACAGCCAACACGTTTTCGCATTTAGCAAACTGGAATTTTAACCAAGAAGCGAAACATTTTAACAGGTTGCAGGAGCAGTTTACATAATGCAATACAAGCACGGGAAACCACCACCAGTAAGACAAATGAGAACATGCCATGGTAATATACACTGGAACATATGGCCAGTGGTGGAACATAACAAAGTAAAATACACACGAAACACTTTTACTTTCAGTGCATTTTTAAAGCAAACAACATACTTTAATACTTTTAAGGGTTTGTCATATGATTTTCTCCATGAAGATGTTATTGCTTTGACTGGAATGTTTCCCACTATGCTATTAAACCTTTATTCATGGTTCATGGTTCATTCAAACCAAGTTACAGGTCAGATCTAGGAGAGGCGACCCCACTCATAGTCTGCCTGTTTTTCTAGCTATTTTTGAGCTATAAAACCACTTACAATTAAAAAAAAAAGTAAGGTAGAGCTGTTTAATGTCATACTGTAGAACATTTCAGGCAGAGCAATGACATATCCATAGAAACAAACAGGTGATAGACCCTCAACCAAAAAATTTCATAGTGCAGTATTAAGTACAATTATGCATGTGATACTTTTACCTTAACTTGAGTTTTTGTTTTTTTGTTTTTGCTCCAGTACCTGTACTTTTACCTAAGTAACAAAATGTAGTACTTCTTCCACCACTGCAAATGGGACTAGAGGGCTACAGTTAATCAGAAAAACAAGAAAGCAGACAGCTAAATAAGTGGTGGCACAGTCGCTGTTGTTTTCTCAGCTGGGAGCACAACTTCATGTCCTTGGAGCTACCTAAAGGCGAGAAGACCACTTAACCTGGACTATCATCGGCTGGGACATAGCATAAGGAATGAATTGCTGGGTTTCAAATAGCAAAACAACATTCTATAGGCCTGTAGTGTTAATGGAGGTAGGGGGTGAATTTTTGTGTTGAATCGCAGTTCAAGGGCCAATATTTCATGTTATAATGTATGTTATAACATTTCCAAAGCTCAGAATGCTCTGTTCCACCTTGTGATATCATATAGTTGTAGTTTAAGTTAAAAGCTACCTTTTACCTTTTGTTCAGTACAAATGGGCAATTCCATGGCTGAAATCATCCAAATGATTCTATTGTAGTGTAAAGACATTATAAACAGAGTACTTCCCGTACTACCACATGACATCACATGGTGGACAAGAGTGTTTCAGTTTGATACACAAACCCTACATATTTAGGCTGATTTCTTCTCTCAGACATGTGTGAATGAAACAAAACACAACTCAAGGTATATTTCTGATGAGGAAACAACATTGTAACACCAACCAGAAAATAGCGTAATACATGCCCTTTAATTAGGCTACAAATATGAAGCCCCTTCTTACTGACATGAACTATTACTAATGGTAGATGTAGTAGAAGTACCTATTAGTAATAACCACTAGTAGTAGCAGTCAGATAGTAGTAATAGTAGTACCAAGATAAGATAAAAAGTAATAATTGCAGAAATAACAGTAGCCTAATCTTCTACAGTATAGCCTATTAAAGTGTCTACTATAGTAAATGGACATGCATGATAACTAAACACTACAGCTCTAGTCACTCAGTATTTACTAGTTTATTTTATTTCACATTTACATTTTATTTCTCCTCTTTTAACTTAGCGAAGCACATGTCCTTCTCTTGATTACAGTAATGTTCAAGTAACAGTGCCAATATTGAGAACATCTTTCAGCACGAGAGTATAACATGGAAAATAGAGCGAGGATTCTGGCGTGGACTAGATAATTAATTCCCAAAGTGGACAATGTGTCTTGTATGAATCCGCCATTACCTCACCGGAGAAGAATACTTGACCCCAGACACAGTTCAGACAGACAGTGATGTAGGTATGAAGCGGGTGGGCCCCTGGGAATAGACATGTCTGAGAGGGGGGGGTCCAAAACAGGAAGTCCACTCCCTTTTCCTGCACCAGATATTCCAATAGAGCATGAAAGCTAACGGTTAAGCTGCAATTAGCATCCAGTAATTAACACTTAAATGGTAAAAGCATCCTAGCCACAACATAGCTATCAGATTTGCTATCAGTTTTGTGGTGATAAGAAGAGCTCTGGGCTGAAACAGAATAATGTAGGAAAGCTAATTTAACACCTTTTAAACTTGATTTTAATACTAAGGAATATGCTGGATACTGAGGGTGTAATGTTGCCAAGTTTTATGAAACAATATCATCACGGTATGAACCTCACAGTACGATATTTATTGCGGTATCATGGGAAAGCTCACGATGTGGGAAAGCTCATGATTAGGGATGTAACAATATCCAAATCTCTCAATACGAAGTTTTCACGATAAACATCTCACAGTAGATTTATTGTGATATTTTGTGGACAAAACTGTGAATATGCTACTTTTTCCTCTTAAAATGCCTTGACAAGACTTAATCCAAAGAACTAACACTTAAAAGTGCTTAGAACTGTTATTTCTTCATGTAATCTACACTGAAATAGAGCAAAGGATCATGGTCTATGTAGTTCCCTCTGTCTTTTTTTTTTTAGCTATTGCTGCACCATAACTTTTAATTTAAGCAAAGAGACTTGTAATTCAATATATTGTGATGGTCCATGATATTATTCTGAGAACTCTGACGATATCATGATATTTCGGTTATTGTTAAATTCCTACTGAATACTCAATTCCACTACCAAAAATATTCTTTATTTGTGTGATTTTCAAGCTTAAATTCAAGTATTTATTTTGTATTACCATGTGTTGTTACGTCTGTGTAATCCCTGATCATCCAATTAGTATCTACAGTGGTCCATGAGTATGTGGCGTTAAACTTGTTCTGATGCAGCTCAAGATCATTCTAAAGCTATTCAGGAATTATTGATACCTGCTCAAATGAATATCTAGTTTCGATACTAGTTTTAATATTTATTAGTATCTGATTTTCGATACATCTATTACAGTGAATAAAAACATCATTGCACTGCAGTTAAAATGTCATTAAAAAACATACACGTAAAATAGTGAGGTGAGTTTCCCAGCTTGGCCATGTCAATGTCAAACCAGGTTTATGCTGGAAGAAGAAATGGAAACAAAGCAGTCCGTCTTGGAGGGTGTTACACTGGTGAAAACAGGGCTGCCCTAGTAGGCTACAGTAGCTCCGAAATGTCAGGAATTCTGCCTGATTCCTCCAACAGCTGAGGATTTGGGCTACAGAGTAATCCAATACTAGGCCTAGTGTGACCAGATTTGTAAATCCAAAAACTGTTACTAATTTTTTCATAAATCATTGTTCTGTCTTGTTCTGTTTGTAGGTACATCAAGTTAATGGTATATGGAATTTAGCAGACATAGTATATTGCCTCCCAAGTGGGGCATTGTTGATGGAAACTGAAAAACTGGCAATTTGTTGTCGACATTGGACACACTGCCAAAAACTGGATCTGAACAATAGTACATTCAGCTGTCCCATTCATTTGTCAAGATTTGTTGTCACGGAGAATTATACACCAGATGCCCTTCCTGGCCTGCTAAAATCAACCATAAACAGTGACCGTGGCAGTCCTCAGGTTCCAAAACAAGGACTAAAGAGAGATTTTGTCAGAAAGTTCTGCTTTTAAAATAATCATTTACTAGGGCTTAGTGGTTTGGGTAAAATATCTGATTACATTTTATTCTGACAGGCTTAGCAATCGATTCATTTTGCCATTTAGGTTTTGATAATAGGAAAATAATAGGATTGTGTTCAAGTTAACATTTTAAATAGGTCCAGAAGAATTAGCAAAAGATAGAAATCTGAACACGAATCACATTTCAGAACATGTATGCACACTACAAGATTATCAGAATTATTGTGCAAACTAAGGCTATTGAAAAGGAAATTATGGCACAACAAAATTAGTTTGTGATTTAATTGCGGCCATTAAAATTTTACTTTAAACTCAAACATGATTAATCTCTCAGCGCTATCATTTACACTTACATATATGCGCTTTCTGTTGCATTTTTTGTATGAAAAGCGTAAAAATAAAGTTTGATTGATTCATTGATACATACTACATAGAGCAGAATTGAAATGAGGATGCACACACTACTAGTCAAAAGTTTGGACTCACCCTCTCATTCAATGTTTCATTTTTCTATATGTTTACTACTTTTTACATTTGATATACATATAGAACACATCAAATACATGAAGTAGGTAAGTACAAGTAAGTCTAGAATTATGTAACCATGAAAAAACATGAAATAACTCTACTAACATTGAATGAGAGCGTGAGTCCTAACTTTTGACTGGTAGCGTATGTTCCACATGTGCAGAGAATGTCATTAGTCCAAAATCCACCTGCACTAGCCTTTACCCCAGAACCATCAGATAGAACACCATTAATGATGTTACAGTGAAACCCCCGTAGCAGACCTAAAACACAAACACATGGAGGTAATACACAACACAAGTGGGAGGACTATGAGACAATCATAGTTGAACCTGGTCCAGCTGTAGTTGGAAGTGGCAGCTTTTCAAAGGAGAAAACTACAGGAAATAACAAAACAACCAGATCAGCTTTAATCAGGAGGTCTTGGCTCAGCCGTGCGCAGCGATGGTCGCAGATGTGGGAACACAGATGCCCTCCTGCTCACACAAACTGATAAGGCATCTCACAGGGCTGTAAATGAGCAGGAGTTAGAATTAATAGCTCTTTATCGGGGTAACATCAGGCTAGTTGTAACTGGCACTTTCCCCACCCACTGCTCTGTATCATTAGCATTCAATGAAGCTTTCAGTCAAGTCAACAGTACAGATCTGGAGTTA